TTTCATGCAGTTGGAGACTGCTCGTTTGATTTTCAATTGGGAAAAATTGTGTGAGGAAAAGGTTGCCTGACTCATCTCTCTACTATTTCTGCAAACCGCTTGTTGTACATCCAGTGTGGAACCTGGAAAACTGATCAAACTACATGCATGAGAAGTCTCTAAGGTAGTTTGTATTGATATTTCCTGAACATAGGCAACTGCAAAGATTCTAGAGACAACTATATATGTCTAGTTACCTATCTAGATGTCCCAGAATATCAGATTGACAGCCCCTATGTTGTGTGATCACCTTTGGCGGGATGACCCTTTGAAGAAGCTCTACATGCAAATGAGCCAAATACTTAGATGTTAACACATGACTACAGTCCATGGGCTCTCCTCACTGCAGCATTCAAGGCACCAGCTATGTCTGGAGATTATACTGTACATATTAGTTTGGCTGTAAATAAGTGTATCAGAGGTTTTCAAGTAAACAGAATCTATGTAACTAATGTATTACATTTTGATAACATAAGCATATTTGTACAATCCAAACCTTATCCTTTTTTCTATCAAGAGCTAACTCTTATTGGACACTATTTTTCCCCTGCTAACCTGAAAATCATAGATCATAGAATCCCTACAGTGTGGGGACAGGCCCTTTGGCCCAACAAGTCCACACTGACCATCAGAGCATCCCACCCAGATCCATCCCACATAACTCACCTAATCTATACATCCCTGAACACTACAGGCAATTTATCATGGCCAATCCACATAGCCTGCATGTCTTTGGACTGTGGGAGGAAACTGGAACACCCGGAGGAAACCCACGCAGACACAGGGAGAATGTGCAACTCCACACAGTTGACCGAGGGTGAATTGAACCCAGGTCCCTGGTACTGTGAGGCAGCAGTGCTAACTACTGAGCCACCATGCCTCAGAGCAAGAAATCTATTTTTATCCTTTACATGGCATGAGCATGAGGTGGATTACTCAGAGGATATTTCTACAATACAAACTAAGTTACAAAGTGAGTGCTAAACAGATTTAAAGTTTTGTTTTATAATAAATCCACAATTTTATGTTTATTCAAGAAATCTGCTTTGTGAAACATTTTATTCTAATCTAATATAGAGAAAGCGCACCACTGGCCATATTGGGAACTGGGTAAGATGACTAAATTTGTGTTCTGACCATGGAGTGCTGGGACTAAACAGAGAGAGAGTGCACATTTTCCACCTTGTTCATAAGAGTACCCAATCCTGAAGGTCGCTATTCAGAGCCTCTTTGTACTTGAGACTGTGCCATCTCTTGTGTGAATCTTGGGTTAAGGACATGTTTGAGTTCTACAGTGGTACTCGTGATCATAAATCAGCTTGCCAATATTCATTGCCCAACATCAAACTTAAAATATAGTTATAAGTTTGAACTACCATCAAATTGCTAGAAGCCATAGTCCACTAAAAAAAAGGGAAAGGTGATAAAAAATTGAAAGTGTTGACAGTAAGAAACATCTAATTTATTGAATTATTCATCACTCTAATCTGGTGTGGACATGTTGAAAGTTAATTTGACTACCTGTTATATCTTGCTCGCCTTAAATACATTACTAAGATAATGTGAAAATACTTCACCTGCTGTTGAGGTCCATGGCGATATATAACAACCTTGAAGTAAGTGAACATATTTATCAAAACACACCAGACATTTTTCATGCAAGGGGGTGCATGTATAGAACGAGCTGCCAGAGGAGGTGGTGAAAGCTGGTACAATTTCAATGTTTAAAAAGCATCTAATTGGGTATATGAATAAGAAGGGTTTAGAGGGATATGGGCCAATTACTGGCAAATGGGACTACGTCTGATTGGGACGTATGGTTTGTTTCCAGGCTGTATAACTATTTGCTGAACCCTTTGTCTTTACCTCATCTTCCAGGAACAATCCAGAATTTGCCATCGAGATGGCACTTAGGGATCTACTAGAAACCCCAAAGTAGATCACACAGACCATCTAATATCAACAGATCCAGATCCCCATACGGTCTAGACACAACACATCCACATCCGTCCCATGTCTAATTTACCTAATTTATTTAATTGGTACACTTTTAATTATTAATTTAGTTAGGTAAAGTAACAACAAATGACAGCCTCTGAGCTTGCATTCTAAAGATTACTTATTAGCTGCTCGAGTAGAAAACAGCAGAATTTCCTCCTTCCTCTACATCAACTTCCTACTCGCACCAAATTCCCAACTTTTCATTTATTTCACAAAGCAGTTCGTGCTTTCTCATTCTGTGCAGCATCAAGACCTGTTTACTTTTACAGATAGTTTATAAATCGATCCAAGTTGTAACGCTAAAGCAGCTTCCTACTACAATAATTAATTATTATTCAGGCAACCACTTTCAACTGAATGACAGATAAGTGAATGCAATTGTAGCAGCTCTTAGGCTGATGCAGCTTGCCAAAAGGTACTCTATCCTGACAGTATTCAGAGACTTCTCTTGTTGCAAAGTGTGCCTGGATATTTCTGTTGACAAACTTCTTGTTGTTTTATAATGAATTGTATAAAACCATAATAAATCAGGAACCCCAGGGTGGGGCCTGGTTGTAACAGGATTAATCCAGGACCCTGTAAATGAGGGTTCAGAAAGGCTGGCAGATGTCAAATGTTAGTGTCTGTGAATAGGATTGCACTCAGCTGGTGCCATGGAGTACGAGAAATGGCTGCTGAGTTTCCAAGATAATGATCCAGAGAAGAAAGCAGTGAGTTGATGTTGGTAGGTACCTGACCTAACTGGTAGCTGCATATTAATGAGGTAAGCTTTACAGTTTTGGGAGGCTGACAACAGGCAACAATCTCAAATGAATAGGCAATTCACTGCTCTCTAGCAAGAATCTCATCTCATTGCTGGAAACTCTAGTTGAAAATGCAACAAATTGCCCCAATATCAAGAAGGCCCTTACATGATTTCTCACATGATTCTCCCAGATTTATCACTATAGTCCACATTGTTCAGTGCCCTAGAAGATTCAGTCCCCATTTCAGCAATTGGTAGAGCAATTAGATAGGAACTTTTAAGAAGTCACTAATGTTCATTCCTATCCCCGATATTCTGACTCAATTTACCACTGCTGGAAGATGGAATTTTGGATTAAGCACAAATATTCTGTAAGATGTGTACCAATACTTTGCTGTAGATTTATAAAGTTGTCCTATCTGTATATCAAACAATTTCATCAAATTTATGTTATTTAATTGTAAAATGGTCTCCATTGTCTTCTCACATGTGATGGATAATCAAAATAATACAATACTGAGACATCCTCTTATTTGAATTAGCAGTGGAGTGTGCTCTTCAACTAGTCTACAGTATACTAAATACAAATTAAATATACATCACTGCATTTCTAATTAAACATTTCTTATTCATATTATGTTCCTGAGCAGTTAGTTCTAAAGCTATTTGACACTGAAGCCAAAGATTTTCCTTTCTCCAGCCATATGTGAGGTGTCAACTAATTAACCACCCCTAGCACCCGATTATACACCAATCAGCTGAACGGTCAGCTTCCCAGCACGTTGCAGGCCTCAATTGTGGGTGTCCTAGAGACACTTGAAGCTACTAGCTAGTCAGAAGCCAACAGCTTCTGGGTCCTCTTCAAGGGATCCAACAGTGAGCAGCAGGTCTTTTATTTCTCTCTGGATTGGGGATTGAAGGGGGATGTGGTGGAAAAATTGAAGGCATGCACAGACATTTAGAGGCCATATCTTTCCCCCTTCAACCTACCTGTGTCTCGATTACCCTAGATTGGGGTAAATGGTGGCATCCCACCCCAATTTAGCAGGCAGGTCACCTTGATTGTACAATTGGGAATCCAGCCACTTTTCTCAGGAGCCAGGAAGGCAATTACCTTAGGAGATATTGGGTTGAAGCTCTCAAGTGGCTTTTAATTGGCTACTTAAGCGTTCCTTAGTTGCTGCCAAGTCAAGAAATGTACCTTTGCACCAGCATCTAACTGGATTAGGAGACTAGAAAGGGTGGTATCTCTCCAGGGCTGACTCACACAATTATTTCCCCTTCTCGCCTCTTACAGAGAGGGGAAGACTGTATCTTACTCTTCTGTTACTGACCAGATTTTAGTCTGTAATTAAACAGTTAAATCAAGGAAGTTTCAAGAACTGTGTTAGACCTCTTGGCACTCACAATGGTATTCTTATAGCAGTTGTACACTTCAGATGGAAGGTGCTTCTTCTGTTCATTTAAATTTTTAGTAAACATTCCAGAGTCAACAATAGTAGCTGTCAGGTAAGATTATTACACCTTTTGAAAGCTTCTGACACTTTCAAGCCCTAACACAACTGACAACTAGTTTCAGTCTTTTGGAAGCACTGAAAACACAACAGCAGACAACTGCAAAGGAACAACAAAAATCCACAGGATTTGTATGAATCGAGTTGGCAGGGCGTAAATCTATTTGTTAATTCTATACATGTTTCAAAATCTTTAAAGGTTATACAGAGTAATGAGATATATGCCATGGCACAAGTAGCATTGGCATCATCACTAGGAAAAATTGATATCAGCAGCTCGACCTCAGTGAAGTTCAGACTACATTAAAACCATCAAACCTAGACTAATAATAAGATATAGCAAGTGCGAGTTGATGAAAAGAGTGTTTAGAAGATTGAAATACTACTTGAATTCTGCAAAGATTTACTAAAAAAATTCAAAAACATTTTCTAGAATATGAACAACAAAATTGTAACGAGCTAACAAAACACAAAGTACCTTTTGGCCAGAGCTTCAAAACTTTTGCCAGTTTAAGCTTAATGGGTATGTATGAAGGAGGTTCAGGAATACCCTATTAATTTGCACAAAAGTTCATCAAAACTTGCTCATGAATGTTTTAAGTATTTGAATAGCAGTTAAAATAGTCATTAAGATATTGAAGTGTGGAAATCGATCTGAAAGGTGCACTTACATATACAAAATTCGACTTCAAAACATGTAATAGCTTAAAAATATTGATTTTATCGACTGTAGTCATTCACAAATAAGATAAATTTACATCTGTACTGCTACAAAGAATGAAAAGTTAGCAAACAGCTTTTCATTAAATCCAAAAGAAATTCAACTTAAATGAGGACAAAACTGGTGGTATCCAATTGGCCATTTGTTATACACCCTGTGCAATTGTCTTTTCCTAGAAAGGAATGTATTGGTATATACTGGACAGCCAGTTTAATACTGCCAAGTTTACTGGTCCCAAAGTTGAGTTACATCCATAAATTATACAAACGTGGTAGTGCAAAAACATAAATGCACTTTTGAGAAAATACTTAAACATAGAATGACAACAACTTGAATTTAAATTTTAAAATGAAGCTGTTTACTCCAAACTGGAGTGTTCTGAAAATAATTTACAACTAATCTATCTCATATGAGAAAATGGTAGCATTGGGTCACCATAAGTCATAACAGAAATAAATATGTAACAACAAGGTCACGAAATGGTGCATTTTAAGAAGCCATACCAGCAGGTATATGCTGTAAGATGTTCCATAGCAAAGTTTAAAAGTAAGAAGAACAATTGGTGGAATAGGGAAAGAGTTGTGTGATTCATGGTGCAGAGTGCCTCAGTGGGGCAGCAGCATGTTAGAAGACAAGGTGAATCATGGCATGAAGAGAAAGAGGGTGCTCCTTTTGAATGCTTCTTTCCATTTCAATATGGAAGCAAAAGTTGAGACTAAATCAAAATTGTGTATTTGATTTGCACAGTACGAGATCGTCAAATTCATGATAGACTACCATTCTATAAATCATAGCTTTTCTATTCCATCAAATATATTTTCTTTTAAAAATATGTTCATGACAAACAAATTAGCGCATGCCCAGAAGTTGTCGGCTCTTTAGTTGATAATTTTTTTCCATTTCACATAATGCTCTGGCACGGAGATTAGCAGCTTGCAATCTTTTCTTCAGATCCAAATTTTTTGGTTTACATAGGCGCTTTGTTGCATCACTTTCCTTGAAGTGAATGTTTTCTTTACTCCCTCCTGCAAAATGAACTTTCTTCTTCCCTGGAGAGGATCCTGTATCTATATAATCATCTAGCAGAACCAGAAATTTGAAAAGAAATCAGTTTAATGCATATTCTACCAGTTACAAATGCCACATTTGAAGTAACACGACCTCTTTTGTACGTGTTATGTCAACAGAGTCTCAACATTTTTTTAAATAGGGATCAGCCATTTTAGTGGTTTGCATAGAAGTGGGATGCTACTGGATGGAAAAGTACTCCACTTGAACCACCCTGTCATTTCAGATGGTCCCCCTGCAGAGACATTCAATCAAAATTGCAGATCAGGTCCTGATGACATTATTGAACTAAATCTAGATATTTAAAAGTACTACCCTGTTCCCATCCCGAGGTGTCATGCTCATCTGGCTACTTTCAGCCACTTTTGCCCAAATCTTTTTTTGGGCAAGCAGGGCAGTAAATTCAAATCTACTCCATACGTTCATTTTCAAGATATAATCCTCACTTCTGAGGGCCTGATCACATGCCTATATTCTGTAATGAAGATGTCTGCAAGTGTGTTGTAATTAATTTCCTTGTAATATTAAAAAAGGTTTATTCCACATGTGAGCAAATTACCTGAGCAATCTCAAAACTTGTTACTTGTGAAGTTAGTTTTGCATTCAACAGCTCCTTACACAATCAATATGGTCAGTCTTTCATCAAGGTTTACTGTTTTATTTTCAGTCACATTATCAAGCAATCCATGACCATAAATCATCATGCTTCTGCTGGTAAAAATACTGAAATCATAAACTGCAGCAGTATAATCAGCAAAAGTACAAACAAAACATGGATTACGATGGGTTAAACATTAGGTTTATTTGATTTGTTGACTGCATTTACAGCTACCGCAACAATTAGGGTAGCATTTCACATGTGTAAATGGCTCAGTGACATTGCAGTAACATCCATCCTTTCTGGATTAGGGAATTGGTTCCCTAATACTTTAAAGATAAAATAAGAAATAAATGTGACACCATTGCAAGTAGTAAGGGTGAAGTGGAATTAAATTTAAAAGTAAAAAAGCCATTTTAAATAAAAAAAAATTTTGGAAAAAAATCCAGATCAAGACTGGGAGACATTCAATTTATGATCTCTTAATGAGATGATAAAATTAAAAATATTTCCTGAATGATTTCCTGAAACATTTTAAGAAAAAAAAACACTATTGCTTAACGTGTGGTCGAAACAACAACCTTGAAGTTATAGAGTCCCACTTTCTATAAACTGAGATCTCTCATGTACTGCCTCTTTAACTTGTCCAACAACTTTACAACTGATTTTCTACAATAAATCTGAAGAAACAAATCATTAAAAATACGACAGTTGACATTCATGTAGCAGTGTTAAATTGGCCTGGAACAAGTCCACCAGTTACAACAAAGGCTTAAGTTTGATGATGCCGCAACTGCAGATAGTGCACTCCCTAACTTTGAAGCCACTGCCAGGGACATTACAAAAAGGTGACACAGGGCAGCTGAGAAACTGCAAAAATACCTTCAACTGGAAACTGCAAACAATTCAATATTCTGTTCTCCAAAAAGAAAACAAAACACTTGCTTTTCTTTTAAAATAAAGATGGTTATGACTTAAACAAATTAATTAAGTAATTATTATATGGGATTGTGAGATATCTGGGGATAATGATTCCAAAATGTGACAATAATTTTCCAGAAAGCAGCACTTTTTAATCTGATTGAAACTACCAAGTATTTTGACAATTCAGATGGATAATCTGCAGCTGTTTAAATACTGTTCATCTTCACTGGGATTATTTGATGGGATAATATAGAGGGCAGCTTCTTCTGTATCTAACTGCTGTTGCAAGTGCAGGAAAGGGTTGGTGTAGGCTCAAGAGAGGTTCTGGAGTAGCTGTAGGAGGAGAGGGTGGTGGAAGCTCAGACCAGTGGTAGACCCTGCTCTCACAAATCAGCACTGGTATCAGCCAGCAAAGCATACCAATGACATCAGTGGTGGGAGAAACCACATGCATGCCAGTGGACACAACTGTTCCTGATGTCAATAAATTTAGTGCAGCAGATCAGGGGAAGTAAAAATATAAGGGTCTTATAATCTATATATATTTAAAATATACAAAACCAAGGGAAAAATGTTGAAAATTCTAATATTCAATTGAAAACTCTAGGAATATCAGATTCATGCACCATTCATATTTATCAAAGTCTAGTCAGATTGGAATACCAGGTGCCCATTCCCAATACCACATACCTAATTGGAGAACTGCTGTCTTCAGTAGTTGCTTTTCCTTCATCAAGGTATAGTTCTTTAATATGCTTTCTGCCCTGTTCACAGAAGATAAAAATTGCATTCTTTATTTAAGCAATAGCAACTTAATAGGAATTCTTAAACAAAAACCTCAATGAGTTTAAGTAGAAATATTAGTTGATAAAACAAATATGACACCAAGGATGCAATATTGAGGTTCAGGGGAAAACATGAGGTAAAGGAACGGGAACAACATTACTCATTCGAGAGAACCAATACAATTGCTGTTAGTTTAGAATTCAGTTTCAAGCCCAAATTACACAATTCCTTTTTTAAAACCTTACCATTTTATAAATGATCTCTTTTAAATAAATGTTAAATAAATAACTTTAGTTTCACTTTTAAAAAATATATAGATTTGTATATTTGAAATATATGAACAAGATAACTGATGCAATGAAGATTCTAGTTTCTTTGTCAGGATATTTGGCACAGTATACCACATTATGGATTTAATCTACTATATTTTATAGAAGAGAAGGTGGAGAGGAAATTTGATAGAAGTAATCAAAATTGACGGGTATAAACAGAGAATTGTTCTTATTGACAGAGAGGATGAGAAAAGAAAGGCATAGGTTTATGATGATTAGTGGAATTTCAGATAGCAAATTTTAATAGCATAAGCATTCCATAATTAAAACTCTTGAGAGAAAAATATAAATGCTTCATTATATCTATAGATCCCCATTTTGATCCACTTATATTAAATTTCAGTCATGACAACAGTTTCTTGGGGGGGGGGTTCTTTTTGATTTTTGAGAGGTCGTTTTGTGGATTTTGGAGCTACTTTTGAATTCTTATTAATTCACTTATTAGGTAATGTAGTCTCTTAGTAACAATACTTTCTATATTTGTGTTGACATATAGGGCATTTGCACTCACAGAGTTAGAAGAATTTATCAATATCCCCAATAGTAAACAACTATCCATTAAACCTCGAGCCACATCATGTAATGAAAACATTAATTCCACAGATAGTATTATAGCTAAATTGGTACAAAACAATAGGTTTAAGTCAGCAATAAAGTTTATTTTCAAAATATAACTGACACACACTGTAGAACAAAAATGCATCTCCTTAAAAACACCTTCCACAGATTAGTGAGGTAAAGGCTAATGCAGTCTGAACATATTCATAAAGCTGGAACATTCTAACCAGGCAGTTGCTTTTTTTTTTAAAACTGCCCCTCACATTTCAATTTCAAATATTTAAATTTCATAATTAACATGCTGTTAGTTATAATTGGATCCACTACATGTTTTCCAAATACTGTAGCTTCTCAACTTACGCAATCTTAACAAGAAATTACACATTCATGTGCAAGAAATTACACATTCATGTGCAAGAAATTAATTACTTTAGTGAATTTTTTTACATCTCAGTAAGCGGTTGTGACAAATTTAAAATCAGTTCTTCCTTCTAAATAGTGTCCTTCGCCACACACCGCACCGCACCACACCAGCCCTACCCCCCCACCACATATCTTATAGCTCCCTACCTGCCCTATACACCCTGCAGCTGTCATCACTCCTCCCTGCTTTATCCATCCACCCAGATACCAATTTACCGATTCCAGACTTAACAAAAGACTCAATACAAGATCCAGCTAAAGGCCAGTCACCATCCCAACCTTAGATAAAAGGCAACTCACATTCCTGGCCACTCTGTCATTTATGCAATTGCTTGCTACTCCACTATTCTTTTTTTATTATTCATTCACAGGATGTGAGTGTTTCTGGCTAGGCCGGCATTCATTGCCCCATCCCTAATTGCCCAGAGAACAGTTGAGAGTTAATCACATTACTGAGGGTGTGGAAGACACATGCAGGCCACACCAGGTAAGGAAGGCAGTTTCCTTCCCTAAAGGACATTACTGAACCAGATGGGCTTTTCCTGACAATCTGTAACAGTTTCATGGTCATCATTAGACTTTTAATTCCAGATTTTTTCACTGAATTTAAATTCCACTATCTATCACAGTGGGATTCAAACCCAAGTCCCAAGAACATTACCTGGGTCTCTGGATTAATTGTTTAGCACTAATACCAACAGGCCATCACCTCCCCATGGGAGCATTCAAGGGTTCCTTCAATATAGTGTTTGTTTCGATAAGCTTGCAACGAAAACATTAAGCAGCAAGTACAGGAGAGAACAAGCCTGTGATTCGAGGAACAGCTTGTCACTGTTTCCTTCAATTCACAGTGGTGACCTCCTCCCCCATTAATTGTCATCCAGTGATGGTGTATTGTCCAGGGCAATTTGAGACTTTTGGGTGGTTTCGCCCACCATCCTTGCATAATGTAAGTAATGTGACTGAGAAAATTTATTTCTAAATATGGAGATTTACTGACTATACTACAAACGATTATCCTCAACAGAAATGAAATTCCTCCACCCTCTGTAGCTGTTATAAGTGTTATTCCCAGGAAGATAAATGCACTTCAACAGTGCTCCAAAAGTGGCTTTTCCTATAAGACAGACAGAATTGAAATTAAATTTTAAAATACAAGTCACTGCCTCAACTCCTTTTTTAAAAGGCCAATATTAAGTTGGATATTACCTAGAAAACTTTTCTTCTGCCAGTCTTTCTCGAATGCAAAGTTCCTGCTCACGTTCTGAAAAAATTAAATAAAAAGCATTGGTAACAGCACCAAGAACAATTTTCACACGCATTTTTACTAGTTAACACATCTAAAATCTACTTTTTGTATACAAGGTTGTTAATTAAAATGGTTTTGTGAAAAGTTGTTGCACAAAGTTCTGCACAAATCAAACATGATGGCAAGTTCAAAGCAATCTTCTTGAGTCTATAAATAACTATTATGGTGAACATAATGCTCACATTTGACAATCTCAACAATGCATCCCCTTTATATTACACAACTGAATGTAATTCAGATCTTATGACAGAAAAATCAAATTATATAACCAAAACAAGAAGCAGAACTGAGTCAAGCTAGAAGTTGTTGCTGGAGTAATAGGAAAAAGTAGTGTAAAACATGGAATTGTTTGAGAGTGAAGCGTCTTTGTTCACCACATCTTACCTCCAACAAAAGAAACATCACAAAACAATTTACTTATAACCAACCTGAGTAAGTCATTAATATGATTGTGCACTTTCAACCAACTGTTGGTTATTTCACAACTGCATAACACTAAATGTAGGAAGAAAACCAAAAGAAATAAACATAAGATAAATTTGCCATATTTTGCTGTATTTGAATTCAATAATGTTAAGAGCCAGATCCCAAATCCATGTAAGATACAACAGGAATATAAATTTTAATTCCATTTCAATATACCATAAGAAAAATCAAGCAAACATAATTACGTTCAAGAAACTCTTCTCTCTTTTTTAATGCCTTCTCCCTGTTCTGAAGCTGTTCCTCTTTAAGTTTCAGCTCAGTTACCATTGGGTCACGGTCCTGAAGATGTTCATTCTCCAAAGATCTTCTCCCTCGTCTTTCAGCTGACATTTTCCGTTGCTCTTCAGCCACCAAATCAGCAATTAAGGTATGCTGCATTAGCTCATCCACAGAAGGCCTTAGATAATCCTAATCATTTTAAAATAATACACTATATGTCAATTACATAAAAATGAGCAATGCTTGTGTGTGACTTGTCCTCTACTTTCCCCAGAAAGAATTTCACTACACTTAGATCTCTGTACATCATCACAGATTGTTCACCTCATTTTTAATTTTTTGTAATTATTTCTCTGCCTCATTTAATCAGATTATAGGTCATCCGTTCACTTGTTATTCAGCTGTTGACACTTTACTCACAGCATCTGACACTTTTGATCGCCTGCAAAGACACTCCACTCACGCCATTTGTATGATCTTCTGATCTCTCTGCCTGTCGATTCTGTGTCTGTGTGCTTCTTTCTCACTTCACCTGATGATGCGGCTGGCTCCAAAAATTTGTGATTTCAAATAAACTTGTTGGACTATAACTTGGTGTCATGTGAATTCTGACTTTGTCCACACCCAGTCCAACATTGGCACCTCCACATCCTGAAAATACTATGGAGCTGATGGTCCTGCCATTTAATCAATTGGTAATATATAAAAATTTCTCATACCAACTAGGGAACAAAACATTAGGTCCAATATTGGGATTAATGCAGATTTCAAAAGAGATAGATTACGCTGATTTTATTAAACAATCACAGAGCCATTTATGGTGCAAAAGAAGTTAATTCAGCCCACTGGAGTCTACGCCTGCCCTCTGTGGAGCAATCAAATAAGCCCATTCCCTGGATCCATTCACACAGAGTAAAAACAAATCTGCAGGGCTAAGAGCCCATCCGATTTTCCTTTCAATTGACTGACCACCATTGCCATTCACTACATAAAAAATGTTCCTATCTACTTTACATCTCTTGTGAAAAAGCTCGTGCCTATGTTTTCTAATCCTTGTACTAGCAGCTGATGGGAATTGTTTATCCTTGTCCACTTTACCCAAACCCATCATAATCTCGTACACTTCCATTAAATCTCCTTTGCTCCAAGGAGAATCTGTGGTTGTGACCTAACTAGAGCTTATAAAAGATTCACCATAATTTCTATTCCACATAGCTGGGAATCTGTCTACTACTAACATATAATTTAGGCTTCACATTTTTTCTTGATGCAGGGATGGTTTTGTGGCCAATACAGGACAGTAAATAACATAGAAGATGGAAAGTGAATTAACGAGGTTTAAAAAAAGTGGAAAAAATCATTCACATCTGACAAAACAAGAACCTGATACTCACCTTAAGGTTTAACATCCTGCCAAGGAGTTCATTCAGTTCATCAGAATAGCGATAAGGAATTCGTCTGAACTTGCCCTCTCTTATTTTTTCTGCTAAGTCCTTCTGATTGTATGCAGTGAAAGGTGGGCTTCAAAATATAAATTAAAAATTGAGTCAGGTATTTTAAATACATTTTTATGCTAAATTCCAAAGAGAAAACATGGTTAGTCTGACCAATAGCAAAGCTTAATCTGGATGTGATTGCAGCAGAATGTCATCAGATATCATCAAAGTTCCTTAGATGGCACCTTCCAAAACCACGACCACATCCAATTCAAAGGACAATGGGAACATCACCACTTGCAAGTTCCTCCAAGCCACTCACCATCCTGTCCTGGAAAATATATCGCCATGCCTTCAGTGTTATTCAGTCAAAACCCCAAAATTCCCTTCCTAACAGCATTGTGGGTCTACCTACAGTAAATGGACTACAGTGGCTCAAGAAGACAGCTCACCACTATCTTCAAGGGAGCCAGGGAAAGGTGATAAATGCTGGCCCAGCAAGCAATGACCACATCCCAAGAGTGAATTAAAACAAAACAAAAACAGCTTGAAGGATTGTAATTCTATCAAATGTCAAGGCTTTCCAGTTTCAAAATTATTTATCAGTGCAAGCCGAAGAAATGTTTTACATGGATTTGGACCCAAATCCAAAAGAGCTGTTGTATCTTCAGTACTGCAGAATGGTCACTAGATGTCACTGTACCAACATTTGTATCAGTGGCACAATGTAATTACATAACTCATAGTTGCCATGCACAATAGGATACTTTCCCCTTTGGAGACAGCCAGAAAAATGTGTGGAAAAATGCACTGATTAGGTGGCAGTACAGTTTCTGCTCAAATTTATTTGCATAAAAACAAACATAAAATCATCTATGAATGGCCACAAATGGACAGGCTGATGAAATGCATTTGTTTCTGTATTTCTTTCCATTAGGAAAATGTTCCCTTGAATGTGGTTAAGATTGATAGCTGGATGATATCTTATTAATACAGCTAAACATGAATTTATTATCATAAATTAGTATTTCATAAAGGTATTCCATCCACCACCTGTAAAATAATCTGATTTTAAAATCATGTGAAAAATGCCCTTAAAAAAACTATACTGATAACTTTTAATAGTTTCATTAGTAGGACTAATCAGTTCCTTCATGAGTTATATTTTTTGATTTGAAAGAATTTTTAAAACTGTCTATTAATGCAGGTCTAAAAGAAATTAGCACACTGAAGTGGCTCAGTCAACAGAAATTTGCATTTTTGACCTAGAGGTGTAATAACTGAGTACACACATTTATGTTTGAAATTTCCAAATCTTTTACGTTTGTTTGGTCAATTCCACCTGAATTGAGCTGTTATTATTGGCATACTAAAAAATGTTTATTTTTTTAAAATGCTACCCATCTTAGCTCAGTTGAAATTTAAATGTTTAAAAATACTTCAGAATTGTCAATCATTTTTGATGACTTAAAAATCATAAATTTTCAAATGACATTTCTATCCATAACTAAAAGAGGGCATAAAAAACCATATCTCAGACTCAAAGCACCGAAACCCAAAAAAAATTAACCTGAATTAAATTATTTGTAACATAAAAAGATTACAATCCTTGGAGATAAATGACTTTAAAAAAAAATTCCAAGTTCTTGTGACTGACTGACAGCAATATTTCAAATTTTAAGCTTTTTACCACAACAAACTAAAAGCGACAATGACTAACCACTATTTCAATTGTCAACTTGGATCCAAGTGATAAAAGCACCCCCTTCCATAACTATTATTTACTCTGTCTATTCTCCTGTAGCCTGTCAAAAGCCATCCTCAGCTTTGATGGCTTGCTTCCTTTTAAGCTAACAGTTACTTTTGAGTCATGGCTAGGTAAAATTTTCAGGATTTGTTTAAATCCTCATAAACTCAGTCTCTTCAAGCAGGTTGTGTGTTTCCACCACATTCTGTGTAGGAAGAATAGAGACTGTCTCTCTCTATCTCTTACCTTCGTTTCTCTCTCAGGTTGAACCTGGTTGTAGAGCTCAGAATAATTTTTTAAAAATACGTAACCCAATATTACAATGGTTTGTATTGGACCATTCCCCCTTTAAAGCACACGTTCAGGGCAATGTAAATCACAGCACCTTGTATCAAGGTAGAAATGCTAGTTAGCCACCCTTAAATCCTCCAATTCCACTCTATCTTGAAATTAAATAAAGAGTTTTAAGGTATAACAGTTTATGAAACCTGACATTTCTAACGGTTTCCTGTTAGACTTAATACCGAAGTCATCACGGATACCCTTGTCGTTATCCAGAGGTGTAAACATCTTACACCTCCATCCCAGTAAAACAACCTGGTGTCCCCCCACCTTTAATCCTTAACGTCTTAAGCCACCAACTTGTTGTCATGCGCAACTCAGAATGGGTCATATGACACTTCATTTTCCCTATTAAATCCAAAACAGAACAATCTTATGAATTTTGTATTAGTAACAAAAGATAACATTTAAAACAAAATTACTAATAGTAAGGACAAACGGGAGAGGGACGTAAAAGCAATTGCCAAGTTAGTTTTTCAATTGTCAATAGATGTTACAATGACCGCTTCCACTCCAATTCTCATAGACGATAGAAGGCATCCTTTCTCCACTGTTTTTAAAAGAGACATTGATAGTGATGTTCAGCAGCAGAAAATATCCCACACAAAATAGAATATGGCTAGATCCTCTCACACCTCCATCTTCTTCTAACAAAAGATTCATAAAGCAGTAGATCAAACACCTCAAGAAAATGAATGCAGACAACACACCTGAATCTCTGCTGCCTGTTCCCCCAATCACTTTGATCTTTACAATGATATCAGCACAAACAAAATAACAACTTGTACTATGAATGTCTGATGAATGAAATCAGCCAGATTTTTTTCTGATTACTCAGATTTCCAGAATATCCAGCATATCCAAACAACCACCTCAACAACTGTTAGTGAGCATGAAAACATTTTTGCTGGTAGACACCATAGTAGCCTCAGAGTTGTATTCAATTCAATTCCAGAATTTTAGATATTCAACAAAAAACAAAAGTGGGTTACACCCCCAGCCCTCAACTTTGCAAAACTTCAGAGAATCAGTCTGCACAAAACATACCATTAAGAAAACCATCCAGTTATACCAAAAATTAGAGGGAGAATGCAATTAGAAAATGTAAAGCATTAAGTGACTTAAAATGCAAGCTCACAATCAGAGCAGAAGATGCTGTGATTAGAATGGCCGTAGTATGGTACTTACGAAAGTGCACAAAGTTCATACAGCAGACATCCCAAGGACCATATATCAGATTTCTCATTATAGGACATGTGATTAATTTGTTCCTGCAAATTAAATCATGCAAAATGATTAATGGAAATGTACGTTGTTAGTAATATCATAATTGCAATCCTTTATTTACCCATAATAGTTAGTTACTTCAATGAAAGTTAGATAACACTTCCAATTAATAACAAACAGTGCAGGGCAACTATGTTAACATCACCTTGTTCTGAGCTCTACATCCAGCTTCAACCCGAGAGAGGAACTGAAGTAAGAGATACAGACAGACAGTCAGTCTCTATTCTTGCCACACAGAATGTGATAGAAGCACACATTCTGATTGAAGAGACCAAGTTTGTGAGGATTTAAATAAATCCTGAAAAGTTTGCCTAGCCTCAAGGATAACTCTCAGCTTAATGTTGTAAAGTTTTTTGGGGCCTTAAATCTCATTGAGCATGGTGAGGTTTGTTTTAACATTATTTAGTGCAGTACCTGACCCAATGATGCCATTTTGGTACAAAGTCCTCCTTCTCTCCAACTTGATCTCTCCAAGATCTCCAACTTTCAGTTTTGCCCATTCTGCACACTGTCCAGCCACCACCAGACAGCATTCATCTGAGAGACTGCCACCATCTCCAGAATGTGCAAGGGCACAACGGAGACATATCACCCAATAATGTACAACATATGGACTGCAGCAATTCAAGAAGGCAGTTCATCACTACCTTCTCAAGGCCAACTAAGGATAGGCAATAAATGCTGGCCACCAGCAACACCCATGTTCTATGAGTGAATAAAAAGTGTAGGTGGTGACACTGGAGCTCAGCAACCTCCACTCCCTTGCAGCAGACTGGGGTCCACAGCTGGTATAACAAAACAGGAGAGCCACTTAATTTCATAGAACCAGTGACCATTGCTCTCTGCCACACACCATTCCCACCACCCCAAAATCTTCAGCAATACTTAGCAGTTTCCCCTTGCTGGCCTATCGGCTGTGACCCATGATCTGCCATCACTGTCCTATTTGCCCTGCTCTCCACACCTGGGTGGTTGGGGGAAGGAGAGAGAAATTTTTACCATTGATATTGTATGCACTTCTATATATTTTAAGAAAAATGTATACTCACTGGAGACATGTAATATGGAGTGCCAACAAACGTTTTGGCAAAACTAGTGTCATGTTGCAAAATCCTAGCCAAGCCAAAATCACCTAATTTGACATTATGTTGCACGTCAAGAAAGACATTTGCAGGTTTGAGATCTCTGTGTAGCACTGTGCGGCCACTTTCACTACGTCTGTGACATTCTCGTAAGGCCAGAGCTATCTGAGCAAGGACACGCAGGGCAAAGTCTTCCTCTAAATATCGCCTGTAAGACAAATTAATTTTTTTTTAAATGACCAATATTCCTGAAAATATCCAATAAGAAACACAACCTAATGAACAAATTCATAATAGTTCTATGGTTCAGATAAAATAAAATAAAATGTGCATCTCTGAAGCTAAACAATATTCAATAAGGATTACAGGTAGTCCTCAGGTTGCAAGCAGATTCCACTTCCAAGTTGATTTGTATGCAAGTCAGAACACAATGTCAGACAATGTAAAGCAGCCATTCATCAGTACAGGAAATGTTTGCATGTCTTTAAAATTACACCCTCCTACGGGATCATGTTCATAAGTACAAGCTTTCACAAGTCACAGACTCCCTATATCTCTATTACCATCTGCAGCATACTAACTGTTGTCATCATAATTATTTAGCATCTGGGAAGCAATATATCCAAGATTGTTACAATCTTTTATTCTTACCATTTTTTTTTTCTGTTGTCATTACCCACCTAATGATGAGCATTCTGCTAGGATACAATTTCACATGCAGCCTTTAATTGCTCACTAACTTCAACAACACTAATTGAATTCAATAATTTGCTTTATCAAACATCGATTGCATGACTAAACAAGACTAAGTATGTTTGGATGAGGTCTTTAGTAACTAACAACTCATACACTGAATAGTTTAGAAAACGTACAGTTGTGACATGATGCATTTTTCTGCAAAAAAGACTATGGACAACTTGTTCTTTTGTTCAACAAAAATTGGAAACCTGGACCACATGATGCAATACTTTACATCATGTAATTTCTTCATAAAAATCCAAGATTCAAGGAAGAAAGTATTGACAACATGGAGTCCTATGCTACTTTCCAATATTGAGTATTCAAATAATATTGTCCCATTAAAACAGATTTTACCTTTCTCGTATACACTTGTTAATCAGACTGGCCAAGTCGCCTCCTTCACAGAACTCCATTACTATGTACAATGTTGTATTTGTTCTGTCAATAATACGGTCATAATATCGAACAATGTTTGGATGCTTAAGTTCACGAAGCAAGTTCACCTCCGAGACAAGCATCTGTTTCTCTGCCTCAGACATGGATCCATAGTCCATTTCTTTCCAGACCAGAACCTGCAAACATTAATGAAAATGCCCATGAAGATAGATGGCAGTAGTTTGGGTTGCAAATATAAGATTGTACATTTCAGTTTTAAAGTTGAAATTTGAAACAATTAAGTTATTAAGTTAAGTTATTCAAAGAATCTTGCTGTATGTTAAAATTGCATACTTACAAGTAGTCATCATTAAATATAAAGTTCTGTATCAGTTTAATTTTTGAAATATAGTACAGGGTGCCTTTGAATTGACAACTTATGCCTGAGTCCCACATGGCAGACTGGTCAAAGAGTAAAAGCCATTGGAATATAGGGTAATTTGTTGAATTATATCCAAAATTGGCTTAGTAACAGGAAACAAAGGGTAATGGTCAGTGGTTGCTCTTGTGAATGTAAAGCTGTTTCAAGTGATGTTCTGCAGGGCTCGATGTTCAGATCCCTGTTGCTTGTTTTATACATTAACAATTTGGACTTGAACATGAGGCACAACTGGAAAATTTTCTGCAACAAAAAAATTGGCCATGTAGTGGAAAGCTGTAAGCTCCAAAATAATATAGATGGGTTGGTGGTGTGGGTAGGAAAGTGGCAGATAGAGTTTAACTCTGATAAGTGTGAGGTAATGCATTTAAGGAGGTCAAACACTAAGGGGAGTATACAGTAAACAGGAATACATTGAGAGGGGTAGACAAAGTGAGAGGTCTAAGCATCCAAGTGTAGGGTCCAGCAAAAATCCCCTACATCTAATCATACTGGACAAAATCCAGGGCTCTTCAAACTTTAAAAAACCCTGAACTCTGTTCAAAATGTATAAATACCACTCACAAAAAGTGGAGATGGCTGTCTGGAATCCTGAAATTCCAATTTACACCTCTTCCCTAAAAGGATCATTAACCGAAACCAACAAACTAGCCCAAGACAGCTTTTACACCCTGGGCTACCCAGCACAGACTGTATGGGGCCTACAGAGATACATGACATTCAACCTCGATCAAAACCTATTCACACATATACTAACCTTCAGAAAGCCAATTAACTTCAGAAAAGAACATTGGGTTTAAGGAAAACTACAGATTTGAGGGGAGATAACGTGGCACACAGTCAACATAACTGCCAGCCCTAATGTCACCTGAGGAGAGAGCCTTTCTCAACAATAAGCTTCTGCACAAACAGCTTTCCCCACAGGTTTCCACCCCCAACAAACAGTCTTGGAACCAAGAACCATAGAGGCCATACCGGACACAGGCCTGTTCCAAACCAAGAGAACTGACGGCAAAAACCTCAGCAACCAGGTGTGCTTCAAAATAGCATTTTGAGTGGTGACCATAAACTCCTGAGACCCGAAAGGTCTGACCTAGCTAGCAGGGAGGGGAAGACAGGGTGGTGACAGTGCATTGGGACCCCACCCAGGGTAGGAATTCTGATTAAAGACTCTGTAATTGAAACTATTGTTTTCTGTGTGTGTCAGTAGCATAGGTTCTAATACTGTAAATCTAGCTAATAGTGTATTTAATAGTACTACTGTTCTTTGTATAATTAA